ACCTGCTTTCCTGTCATTTAAATTTAACGCTGCTCACGTGACTCTCCTTGCCTTTCATATTCTTCCCTTTATAATCGTGCATTCTTCACATGGCATGAAACGAGGTCTTTTCTTTCTGCAGATGCTTAAAGGGCCATTTCTGACCAAGCACCGCACAGGCGGCCTGTTTCCAGCATTTTCAGGGAAATGGAAACACCGGTGCTGTTTCCTTTCCTCTGTTTCAACCTATAGATATCAAAGTTGCAATGGGGGGGGTTTGGGGGGTGAGTGAGAAGCCCATTAAGGGCAAGAATAGGAAGAGGTGTGATGGCTTGGCCTGTGGCTGGGAAAAGGAGGATTTGATTGGAAGATATGGTGGAATTTGCAAAACCTGGGGGTGGGGGTGGGGGTGGGAGCTATAAATAAACTCAGGAGCTCGGCATCCCCCCCCCCCCATTGCACTTTGATATCTATAGGTTGAAACAGAGGAAAGGAAACAGCACCGGTGTTTCCATTTCCCTGAAAATGCTGGAAACAGGCCGCCTGTGCGGTGCTTGGTCAGAAATGGCCCTTTAAGCATCTGCAGAAAGAAAAGACCTCGTTTCATACCATGTGAAGAATACAGGATTATAAAGGGAAGAATATGAAAGGCAAGGAGAGTCACGTGAGCAGCGTTAAATTTAAATGACAGGAAAGCAGGTTTAGTTTTACTCTTCGCCCTGCACATTTTGCAATCTGGGCCTTCTCCTTTTGGAGGTGGAGGAGATTGTGTCTCCCTCCCCCCTCCGAATTCCTTGCCAAGGCCAAGGCCAGACCTGGAAAAAGTTGTGTGTCCCCAGATTGTGTCACAGCCGTAAAGCTGTTCAGGATCCCTTCATGGGGTATGTTTGCAGCAAAAGCCACCGAGCCCTAAAATAAAACCCAGCTCTTTCCATGTAGAAAAGTCACAAAGGAAGTTTCAAGGTTTACGCTGATGAGCTACTTTTCCAGGGGACTGGATTTGTAGAAATTATTGGGGAATGCCAAAAAGCGGACCTTCCTGGCACAAAAGAAAAATGAATGTATCTAGCATTGCACAATGCTTAAGATATCTTTGCTCGGTGCTCACATCCAGCTAAGCCATGATGTGCTTTTCCCCTAGAATGATCTCTGAACCCAGCCATTGCGACTTGCACTCTGTGCTTTACAGCTTAACTGTGATGTTTGGACTCAGCAGTGGTGGCTTATTTAATAAATTTGTAGTTCAAGCAAGCAAGCAGGATGCATTCAACAACAAACGGGGATTGGTGAAATAAAAACCCAGGTGCTCACCATCCAAAACAGGACAGGCACCCCTTTTCTCCCCCACCAAAATATTTAATTCTTGCAACTGCTAATGGCAGAGAGAATTGCTGGATTGGTGAAATCAGATGCTTCCTGCAAACCATCTGTTTCTAGCTGTCCAGATATGAAACGGATATAACCAGCCAGACCTAGATTATCTTGAAACAAGTCAAATCAAAGGGTCTTTAAATGCTTTAAACCAGCGTTTCCCAGCCTGAGCAATTTGCAGAGGTGAGGGCTTCAGTTCCCCTAATTCCCTACCCAGCGTGGCCACGGTTGAGAATGATGGGAGTTGAAGCCCACCTGTCTGGAAATTGGGAAACATTGCTTTAAAAGTATTGAAGGACTTGGCTGGGCCGTGCCCTGACAAATTCACATAGCCGCTCTTTGGATAGACAGCCAGCTGTAAAAAAATGGATTTAATAATAAATCAGTAAAAGCCAGGTCTTGGGCTGCCAGATCTGTACTGCCACCAAGAGTCTATTGGAGTTGAGCAGCCCATAAATTAAAAAACAATACAGTACTGCAAACCTCCAACACCAGTTGAGGGCAGCAAATAGATGTTTCTGGATCCCTTTGCTGCCTCCTGCTGGCTGTAGAGATGTTTGCAGCCTGGATACGGTAAACCAAAAACTGCACAGAAATGAAAATGCGTGGCTTTCCATAGCGGGTGAGCCAGTCTGATTGTGAGTGTGTCTGATTAGATGCACTCAAACCTGCACGTAGAAGGTGTGACTTTTTAGGGTTCCCCTACACGTAAAAAGTTAATTCCTTAGGAGTAAAAGGCTGGTCAGAGAATTGCTGGATTAGCTCTGGCGAGCTGACTGTTTATGAAGAGGGGGGGGAAGAAGGCAGTATTCAGAAACAGAGTTTTCTCTTCCTGACCTTGCAGACACTTGGAAGTGGTACATCCCATAGTTTTGGAACATTCACCTACATGCAGAACAGGCCAGGGATCGGTTGTAGCATCTGTGATATTGTACTTTTTATTTTGAGCATGAAACTGAGCCAACTCAGGGAGGCAGTGAAGGACAGGGAGGCCTGGCGCAATATGGTTCATGGGGTCACGAAGAGTCGGACACGACTTAACGATTGAACAACAACAACTTTTTATTTATTTGCTCGCTTGCTTTGCAGTTGGCCAAAACTTTCTATTTATTTATTATTAGACTTATCTCCCACCTTTATTTGTACAATTCAAGGCAGCTCCCACCTCCTATTTTCCCCATAACAACAGCCCTGTGAGGTAGGTTGGACTGAGAAAGGGACTGGCCCAAAGTCCCCCAGCCATGGCTAAGGCAGGACTAGAACTCACCGTCTTCTGGTTTCTAGTTCAACATCTTCAGGACTACTCTGCACTGGGTCTCAAAATATTGCTGTCTAAAACATATTGAGGATTGATTGATTGATTGATTGATTGATTGATTGATTATGTGCCCTTGTAACTGATAGTTTGAGTGGTTTTATTAAGCTAAAACCAGGTGAACCATATCAACTTAGGGTGGGGGATAAACACTATCACTGTAGCTCCTAAATCATAGTTTATGTCTTTTGCTCGACGGGGCAATGCAAGTTTTCTTCTGTGAGCCTTGAGGACTAGCATCCTGAGCAGGCAGCTTAGCAATATATCGAATCAAACATAATGAAAGCTGGCTTCTGGGGTGATCTTTCAGCTGTGGCTAACAGATATCCCCCCCACCCCCACCCCATGCTGTTTCAGGCCTCTTCTCATCTGCCTCAGCAGTTGAAGTTCACAACATCCGATTCCTGTGACCGGATTAAAGATGAATTCCAGTTGCTCCAGGCACAGTATCACAGGTAAATTGGTCAGTTTTCTCCAGACCCTGGTTTCCCACTGTGCTCCCAGCTTCAGACCATGGTTGTGTGAATGATGATTCGTAGTCCAGGATGTGGGGACTGGTGGAATCGAAAAGAAGGTTGGATCCCACAGGACAAACACTCAGCGTGATTTGGTTTTATTACTCGTGTATTTATTTCCTCGACGTTTGCTCACGAGGATCTGAGCAATGGGGTTAAAATGTAATAGGCCTGAAAAATTGGGGGATCCTGTAAAAGCTTTTGGCTGCTCCAGCAGAGAAATGAAAGCATGGCTGGCTGGGGAATTCTGGGAGTTGAAGTTCACACATGCTGGCTGGGGAATTCTGGGAGTTGAAGTCCACCCAACTTAAAGTTGCCAGGTTTGAAAAACACTGGTCTAGACTCACGCGTCTTATTTAGGTATTTATTTTCTATGAGGGAGTGGAGAAGCTATCTAAATGAACGATGTCATTAGATCAAATGACTCTAAACTGGTTTAGACAGGTTCGTGGAAGTTAAAAGTAGAATAATTATGCATACAGCTGGCTTTATGAAACCTCCACAATTAGAAGCAGTCTACCTTTGAAGATCAGCTGCTGGGGTAGAACAGTAGAAGAGGACTAGGATGCAACTGGCTTGAATTCCTAGATGGGTATGCAAGGTTATTTTGGCAGGGGATTGATCCTGCAATTTTAAGGGCGTGCTTCTTGGAAGCTGGGCTTTCATCATGAGGTTTGGCTCCTTGGCAAGTGCATGATTAAAAAAAAAAAAAATTTTAGAAAAGAGAAACAATACAGATTTAAAGGAAATAGAGTAAGAAAGTAAAGCATGAATGAGTAAACAAGGGGTCCCAAAAGCCAAGGAGGTTGTAATTTTCCATTTTATTTATTTATTCAATCAATTTATATTGCTGCCCACGGGCAACTCTGGGCGGGGTGCAACAAAGGTGTACAACAAATCATTAAAGGATTGTGAACAACAGAACATAATATAATTGCTTTAAGAAACTAAAAATAAAACTCCAAGCAAGGCTAAATTTCAAGAATCACGATCAACATGGTAAAAAGGCCATAAAGGGCAACAGAGGAAGTCAAAACGGAAAACCTGACCTGATTAAATTCTCCCCTGAAATTGAAATACGGACTCTTTATCTACTGAAAAATCCAGAAACGACAACTGTGTTTTAAGACAGTAGCGGGAGACTTCAGTAGCTTTGGTTATCCATTTGGAAGGGAGGTGGGCAAAGTTCAGTTTTGCAAACCCTTTGAACAGTGTTTCTCAGCCTTGGCAACTTTAAGATGTTTGGACTTCAACTCCCAGAATTCCCCAGCCAGCATGGCTGGCTGGGGA